GAATTCAACAAGGGTCCTGAACCGGCCCGGGGAACGCGCTGTGACGACGACCAGTGCACGCATGAGACCAACGAGTTGCCCACCGAAAGATGAGCGGCACGCTGGCGAAGCGGGCAAGGAAAACTGCCTTTCAACAGGCAGAAACCTCGTGACAGATCCTTCAGCTCTAGGTGGGTGGGTCGTCTGTCTCAATCAGGTGATATTAGCGGAATTGGCCAGTCCAGAGCGCGGAGACCGCATGGTCAGAAACAGAGAGCTGGTTAGGTGTGGCTCCATTGTTGTTGTTGAGGTGTGGGATGGGAGTTCAGTGCTTAGCCAAGCATCTGTTGGCAAAGAGTGCAGACGGACGTACATAGCAACATGTCGACTCCGACGGAAAGGGCGACCACGCAGGGCAGCTGTAATATGAGCTGCTCTATTTGAAAAGGGTCCTGAGATAACTTCTGTTATGAATTGGCGCTATACAAATAAAATTGAATTGAATTGAATTGAAGTGAATTGATTCATTGAGTTAGATGTGAAAATATTTGTGAAAAGGGCTGCAGTGTAAGCTAACTGCAACCATTAAATGGCTTGTTTTTGCCACTGACAGCCTCAGATTGTGATTGTGTGTTAGTGCCTGACAACATTATGGAAAGGATACCTAGAGAGATAGACCTGAACCAGAAACAGCCATAATATCAATATCGCTATTGCTTTCAACCAGACTCCATAGACACAATTTTACCTCCTAAATCAGCAGTTTCAGTTGCACACGGAGTAGACTGGCTGTGTAAACAAACCACAGAGAGGCTGTGATAGTAATACAGGCAAAGGGTGTGTCACCATGACTCCACTATATCCACAAAGTCCTTTTTAAAGAAACATCAATAAAGTGATAGCGACATTCATATTAGTTATTACACAAAGTCAGGTGCTTTCTGTAGTTTGTCTATAACATTTCTTTTTGTCTCTCAGTCAAACAGGTCTTCAAAGAAATGGAGTTCCTGGGCTGGTACACCACAGGCGGCCCTCCTGACCAGTCAGATATCCATATTCACAAGCAGGTAGGCAAGACACTGAACCCCAAGTGGCTCCCTGGCACCCACTGCTCCTAGTGTATAGGATGGGTCACTGCAGAGGACAACTTTGATATGATAATAAAGGCTGAAAGATTCAGGTTCAGTTTAAGTAAATAACAGAGCAGTAGCATTAATATTGTAGAGATTGTGATTCTATGTTTTGTTGCAGATTCATGTTCGGCCAATACAGAAATAAGACTTTTATTTTGTGGTTGGTAATAAAAGTAAAATCATCTGAAAGTTCTTTCAGATACATTTTCTTGCTGTTATTTTTGTCCTCTCTGCCAGGTGTGTGAGATTATTGAGAGCCCTCTCTTCCTCAAGCTCAACCCAATGACCAAACACACTGATGTAAGTTCCTCTGCTGTTTCACTTCAAGAGTGAGAAAATACCATAGTGGTGTAAAAGCTGCTTAAACTATTTGTCCTCTTCTCCTTCAGCTTCCTGTTAGTGTTTATGAATCTGTGATTGACATCATAAATGGCGAGGTACCCTTTAATATTTTATATTATCTACACATTTGTTCCCGCAGCAGTGAACTGGGTTCCCATAGAAACGTTTTATCTGATATATTTATTTGTTTTTGTTATCTAGGCTACCATGTTGTTTGCTGAGCTGACGTACACTCTGGCCACAGAGGAAGCGGAGAGAATCGGTGTTGACCACGTCGCTCGAATGACTGCCACCGGCACCGGAGAAAACTCAACAGGTAAAAGAGGCTTTAATGATCTTTCCTGAAACACAGTGAGAGCTCACATACACGCCAATGTTCTGTTAGCTGTAAACCATTTACACTCATGTATTGTTCTTAAGGTTGCTTTTATAATCATTGTTTATTTAACACTAACCCATAAAAGATGTTATCTCAGCTCTTATCTTAAACTCATCATAAATGCAAATTAAAAAGGTATTCTAGTTTTTTACAGTGAGTTCAGTTTCAGCAGCAGTGCTGTGACTACTTTGTACTTTATATTTGTGAGTAGAACAGGGTGTCCTTGAAAGGGCTTAATAATCTGAATTTTAGGTTTTAAAATCTTAAATATGATTTTGACAGGTCTCGTATGATACTTGGTTAAAGTTGCATTTTTCGGTCTCGCTTCTAAGTGTGTTTTTGGGGTAAAACCATTGTATTGTATCAATCATGCTGTAACAATTAAACAAAAGGAAACCGGCATGGAACCAAAACAGATTTTCCTTCATATCCTTTGCACTTTTTGTGCCAGGAGGGACGTAAAATAGGTCTTTTTAAATTGTTTTCATTTTCATATTAGTGTTAAATTTAACCTGTTGAAACCTGCAGAACCCTGGCAGAATATGAAGTGGCTCTGCATTCCAAATTAAAGATAAAAAAGACCGACTTGGTAGAGCAGCTGCACGTGAGTGCAAGCTCTGAGCTGTAAGGGACTATCTTGTTTTCAAGATGTACTTATTTACATCCACCTTCATACACAAAGGACTAATGTCTGCAGGTGTTTAGGATACAATTAATTCCTGGAGGGGAAATGTAGAAAATTCAGCTGTCTGTGGTTAAATGAAGTCTGATTCATTGATGCATGCTCTGTAAATTGTCTGCCATATACTGGTATCAGTTCTTTATACTATAAAGATATTAGATAGACCTAACGAAAACAACCAAGAATAATATTGATCAGAGAAAAAATATCAAACCCGCTCTTTTATCCATTTCACATGCCTTATTAAGATAACAGATCTGTTGTGTGCCACATATTAATGTGTATTAATATTGATTACATTATTATTAAGTTATAATTAAATAGTGTGTCGAGATGTCTCATATAAAAGCAACTGAATTCTACTAATATTCTAATAATAGTGATAAAACATTGAAAAATAAACACCCAGATGCAAACTTACATACGCACATAAGACACCAAAATGTCTTTAATTCATCCTTAAAATCAGATGGTTATGGTGTAAACTTCAGGCTGAAGTCTCTATCATGTATATCAAAAGGTTTTAACTCCAGTATTCTCTCTGTGTTCTCCGTTAGTTGCAGAACATCTCATAGTCCAGCACAGTGCGATAAAGATGCTCCACAGTCGGGTGAAGATCATTCTAGAGTACGTCAAGGCCGTGGAAGCAGGTGAGAGGACGCCGTTTAACGAGGCCGCGAGAGCAAGGAATGTGAAAATAAGTCTGGAAAACAGCTGTCTTTAAATAAGATGTTTACTTTCCTCACTTTTGCACCCCCTCGAACACACCTCCATAATTACAAGCGCCTGTTTGATACTGTCTTGACAGCATCATCTCACCTCACTGTTTTGATGCTCAAACTTGTTGTGTCTCTTTCCCGTCTGCCTTCCTGCACTGCAGGAGAGGTGCCGTTTAACCACGAGATCCTTCGAGAAGCAAACGCTCTGTGCCACAGACTGCCGGTCCTCAGCACCATCAAATTCAAAACGGACTTCTATGATGTAAGAAAGCTTTGTGTTCCTTCATGTACAACATTTTCATACCCCTAATGCAGGGTACCCCATGAAAATGATTTATTTATTAATAAAAGGTTTTTTTTTATTACAAAAGGGCAACACCACCACCACCTGGGTACTGTAGGTTTTATCTAACAATACTCAAATAGTAATGTTAAGGTTAATGTTAAGGTAATATATTGCATTTGTTTAGGGACTATTTTCAGCTGCGGATTAATACACTTTTCATGTGCTAGTGAGTATTTTCAGCACCACGACTGTTTATGTGGGATTGACTCAAAATAAGTTGAGTCAAAAAGTGTTTATCATTATTGAAGAAGCACGTCATGAAGCGCTGCAGTGTGGTTCATTGTTAGCTCCATGGCTAAGATATTAGCCTTCTAATACACAGCCAATGGTTTGTGTTTGATAGTAGGATGAATTCATTGTTGGTTTTGGTCTTTTTTCATGTGATTTATTGCTGATAACAAAACCATAAAGTATTGCTTGCTTAATTCCAATGATAAAGCCTTTACTTCTGCTCGGTGTAAATTGCTTAATGACATATATTGAAAGACTTTAATCTGCACTTCAGACAGTAACCTGTAAGAATGAAAGCTTACACTGTTTTTAGCTCAGTGTTTTATTGCCAAGCGAGTTTTTTCTATAACTGTGCCCTTCCTTTCCACCCCCCCTTGCAGCAATGTAATGATGTGGGCCTCATGGCCTACTTAGGCACCATCACCAAGACCTGCAACAGTATGAACCAGTTCATCAACAAGTTCAACGTTCTGTACGACAGACAGGGCATCGGCCGGAGGATGAGAGGACTCTTCTTTTGAGCTGGCGGTCGGTCCGAAGCAGAGAGACAAACGAGCACTGCAGTTTCTTCCTTTGGTTTTTTTTTTGTCTCTGTTTTGTTCTCTTTTGGTTTGTTTGAATTTTTGTCAGCTAAAACAAATTCAGTAGCTTTTCAAAACAGTTTACCATTTTCAAACCACAAGTGTACCCAAAGGCACTTAATTACACCAATCAGTAAGAGATATGTACAAAATCAAGCTCTTTCTTGGGTATGCACAGAAATGAATCCACTGTACATGAACGTTATATTATTTTACCCCGTTTGTTTTATTGTTTCATGTTTCTGTATGTAATAAATGATCTGCTGATTTTTTTTCATGGGACTTTGACTCCTTTCTAAGCTCTAAAAGATCTAAATAATTATAATAGTACATAGAGATTCTTTGAAAAAATTCTTTGAAATCAGCCTATGAAAGACGCTGCGTGGGGGTGCAGGTTTATGGTGTTTGCAGTCAGCTCGTCTTTTGAAGTTGTGTTCCTGCTGTTCGAGGTTTTAAAAGAAAAGGGGGGCAGAGTCGGAGGTCTAATGGAGTCAGCATTTTTATGGGTATTAAATGTACAGCGGAACTAGACATAATGACCCCCGGCCTGCTAGTTGCCACTTTACTAGTCTGCTTCTACCTGCCATGTGGCTCTGGGAGCAGCAAACTTTTTTTACTTTCTGTCTTCTTAAACCTTTTTAAAAGTTTATTGAGAACCAAAACACGACTCATTCACTGATAAGAAAATGTTTTGTGACACTTTATTATCTCATTAGTCAAAAATCAGCCGCATTACATGCTTGTGTTGACTGAGAACTGCTTTCTTACTTGCTGACAGTGATGGTAAATACGTTAACTGCAACTTTCCAATGCTTCAGACTACAGGTTGTATTCAGTGACAGTACATTTGTAAGACGTTAATATCTCTAAACATATGAACTTGTTCAACTTAGATGTTTTCAGTCAAAGTCTGTTTCATTCAAAGTAAAAACACCTTTCCTCAAACACATCCTGGATGTTTTACTGACTCTCCTCTGCAGGCTCGTCAGCGGGCTGTGGGTACTGGAAGCGGGCCGGGTCGTACAGGTCATCCCTGGGGTCGTAGGGCATCGGGTAGAAGTAAGGGTAAGGGTAGAGGGGCGCTTTCTTCTCGATGGGAGCAGGGGGAGCTGGCTCCTCTTTCTCCTCCTCCTCCTC